ATTATAAGTTTACTAGCCGTGCTCGCCCGCTTCGCTGGGAATTTGAAATTAACATTATTATTTATTGTCATTATTATTAGGGAGTCCAACACTCATATAAATATTAGCCTATCCATTAAGTGCATGTATTTTCTACATGGATACCAAGTTTCAAGTCAACCGGATGCACGGTTCAGTAGTTATAACGGGACATCCGTAAAAACCACTGTAGACTTATATATTAGTATAGATTTTATGTGCTTATATTATTAGAGATCACTTCTATTATATTCTTCGGGCTCTTTGTACAGTTATTTATAGAGCCCTCTTTAATTAAAAACGACAATCCTGCGAATGAAATTACACAAAACGTTTGAACTTCAGTTGTGTTTATAATCAGGACAATTATCTCTGTATACTCTGGCTTTTTATTTTATTATAATTACCTGTTTAGGTTGTTAAAGCCGGACTTTTAAGGAAAATCTGTTTATTTTAATTAGTATATAGTATATATACCGTGTATGTGTTTGTATATGTATGAAGTATTATTATCAGTTTGGTTATTTTCACATTAAGTTACAGGATTCTCTACACCACCCTTGGTTGACTGGTAGAGAATGCCTCAGGCATTAAGTCCGCCATTATACTTCTGTGCATTAAGTTGACGAGACTTTAATGCGAGGTTGGAGGGGCGTGTTGAGTGACCAAATTTTTTTTTGTTTTTATGTCCACATATGCCCAGATATGTGAATATATCTTTTTACTTCTTTTTGAGACATAAACGAACTCACATCCGATTCAGGCGACGGGCAACGCACAGTCGCCGTCGCGCAACATGTCTCATCAGATCCTCAGGATCCCCTGTCAGCGGTCCTCAAGCGCCGCGCAGACAAGGTCAGAACAGTTCGACGAGCGACCTAACCTATGGACCCAACCAATAGAATCACTCGCCGGATCTTCTCAGAGGGTCACGATTCCGATCCAATGGTAAATTCTGCGAAGCACTGCTCTTTCCGGTCCTAGTGTTAGCAAATTCCCTTAGGTTGATACGAAAAAACGTGTTTATAGTTCTACTACTTCTAACGTACGAGGCATTCTATTTTTTTAAGTAAGCTAGTAAATAAAAAAACAAATCTAATATTTTTGAATTAAAAAAAACAGTTAAACAACATGTATTTGTTACTGCGAACACACATTAATGCTTTTAAATTACTGGTCGATTTTAATCACGACGTTAGGGTTTCGTTCAATTTACCTTCAATACAATCAAAAGCTATTTGCGTGTGGGTCGCGGTACCTCGCCCAAAGCTGTTTGTTTAGTATCAAAATTTAATTGGGAAGTCGACTCGGGGCAAAGTGTCAACATATAATAACACAACATATGGTATAATTGGACCTTCGTTACAGTATATTTTACTAGAAGTACAACGACTTTCAACAATCATTTATTGACGTGACAACGTCTTATAATTCAATGGAGCCGGCTGCACGCACGAAAAAACATGACTCATGCGGCGTTACCTCGCTCTGAGGCGTTCCATTTAAGGCTTGAAGTGCAAGCGAGAGCGAGCAACGAGCGACAAAGAGGCACAATCGGCCTCCGCGTTTGGCAGCGTTCGACATCTATCTCTCTCCTACTTGAGTGAGCGATGCATCCGCGTGGACAGCTGCTATACAATAATGCATTTACATGTTTTCGTCAAGTATGAAGCTCAGTGAAAAGTGAATGTGGTGTCAATTGTCCATATAAAATATCTATTAAACAAATAAAATCAAAAAATTACTTTTGAAAAATGAAACCATTCCATCAGTATTTTCTTATGACGTTGTCATGTTCAACTATCGTCAGTAAACCAACTTTACAGACAACCGATTTTTTATTGAATAATCACTACGAATGCACTAGTACTTTGATATTGAAATACCTATTAACTCATAATACGATAGAAAGGAATCAAACAAAAATATTATCACGAGCCTATCTTAATACATTTATTTCTTATTTTCCAATTTTTTACATTTCCTGCATTTAAGCTGCTTTAGCTTTTGTGAAAGTTCATACAAAATACGAATCAGATTTAAAGCCGCGGTCTCCACGCCGCAACCATAAACGAAAGCGACCAAAAACAATGTTGTCGTTGTCGTAATGACTTTCCTATTCTGAATAAACAGACTTGTCATTCTTACTGCTGACCCGAGTGTCGTGAATTTGTTTTGATTCCCAATTCTAGGAAAACATTCCTATGACGAACAGTTTTGTTTGCTCCACCTTTGGGTGCTCCACCTTTGGGTGCTATTTTTTTTTAAATATATATTTTAACGTATATCGATATGTAGATCAGGCTTTGGTCCCCATAATACAGGGAATTAATTCTAGTTTGTGGTCCGATGAATGTGTGTGAGTTGTCCTCAATTATTTAAAAAAGACAACGGGGAAGCAGTCGTAACTCTAAGGCGATACTCGACTTCTGCGAGTCCATCATCTTCCAGAAAGAGAGGGCGGAAAGAGACAGAAACCTCTCTTTCTACTTCGGGCCGAGCCGTTGCCATCAATCCGGAGGCCAGAGGAACCATCCCGTCCCCTGTATGCGGCGGCCTCCTTCCGGTAAAGGATACTGGGTGACCTGATGGGGTCGAGGCCGTGCCGTACTGCCAGCACTTTAGCACGCCACCCAGGAGTCACAACATAAGAGCACTGATTGACGGTGTATCGCGACCGGCAAGCTCGTTATGCTTGTTAGCGGGGAATCCAAAAACATCAGCTTCACTGCCTTGGTCTAATGGGTGCCGTGCCGAGGCAGACGTCCAGAGCCTTCGTTTCGCTTCGAAGGATCCGTCAGCCGGGAGTCCATGAGGTACCTGTCTGGTAGCAGTGTTGACTGCGGTAACCCCCATACCCTTCCCCGTTTCTGATCTCAGGGGGGATCGAACACTTGGGCGACAGCTCAGGGGAGTCGTTTAGTGGGTAAAGCTCTAAATTCCATACCTTGGGCCCGCGGTCCGCTCCCAACATCACGTAGACTACGCACCAAGGGACCTCGTAGAAGGTAGGGCCCCCAGCCCAGAAAAAAAAGCAGTTGTAATGCAACCTCTTTTTTCAAGGTAACAATCGAGTATTTGAATACCAAAACCCGCTTTATTCAACAATAAATTACTGACTTCAGCGTAGTAAGTAACCACTCACTATCAGGTAGTTTAATGCTCGCCTAAAATTTGAACAAACTACCCAAAGGTCAGTTACCGAGCAACACGTAAATGTACTCTAATGAAAGCTGTTCATTTTATCAGCTTTAATGCATATACCTCAGGCGAGCTGGATCTCCGTATAATTGTAGAACTTTAGCTAGGGACGTCTTAAATTACGCTGGGGCCCTTGGGCACACAAGAATTTGAGGCCCTTTGGAAATTAAAAAAAGCGAATTATAATAAAAAAAATTAGCGAATTATAATAACAGGCGCTATCATCAATATAATGGCGTAGTATATGCCTTGTAAATACCTTCTGATAAGATTACTGATTTGTAAAAAAAGTGTAATGTGCCCGACAAAAATGTCTTGAGAATAAAAGTGTGAGAGAAATTGTCGGTCCTTAGGGGCCCCCTGAGAATGGGGGCCCTGGGCACGGGCCCCGTGTGCCCTTATGGTAAAGACGGTATTGACTTTAGCCATGATCCTTAGATGGATCTTGAGTACCTACCTAGAATCGTCTCGAAACAGAGTAACTATTCAACAAACAAGTATACCGCCATTAAACTCTTAATCTATTTGTCGAAAAAATAACGGAGAGACTGTATAAATTACGTTACAATCTTTTAATAACTATATCAACGAAGAAAACATTTTCATTGTCTAATTTTTACTTAAGTATTTTCAACGAACAATGTTACAATAATCAATCGCTCTGGACTTTATCGGATTGATTAAATTCACAAAATGGACGTCAGAATCGTTTGGAATTCTAGTGTTACATGAAAGTTAGTTTTTAATTAAATCTCGTAACAATGAATGACTAGGAAACTTAATTATTTTGGATTCAATTAAGAAAATTCGTCCATGTTCCAAAACGGTACATAACTAACTGAAAACAAATTACGCATGGCCCCAAATTAGGATTCCCTGTGCTATGGGTACCAAACACTGATATATGTACATATTTATATGTGTTTAAATATATACGTATATAGATAATAAAAACCCAGACAAAGAGCAAACAAACCTGCTCAACACACAAATGTTTGCCCGATGTGGGAGTCCCACCAGCGACCCTCGACGCTAAGGTAGCTGGTGGCTTCAGCTTTAGCACTTATCTGATGTGATTCAGTCAAAAGCATTCGATACGTCGAAAATAATATAATGGCAATTATAAACTTGACATTAAGCCGTAAAAGCGGTTTCAATTACGTCTACAACTCGCGAAAACTCGATGAAAATACGCTAGTGATTTCTATTCTAGAAATATATTTTTTAATTCGAAGAATATAAATTTAGAAAACTACTAGCTGTACCCGTCCGCTTCGCTGGGCATTTAAAATTAACATTATTATTTCCCCACAAAGATTTTCATCATTAACGCCCCCGCAACTGGTGTAGGGAGTCCAACACTCATATAAATGTTAGCCTATCCATTAAGTACATGTATTTTCTACATGGATACCAAGTTTCAAGTCAATCGGATGCACGGTTCAGTAGTTATAACGGAACATCCGTAAAAACCGCTGTAGATTTATATATTAGTATAGATACAATATTAGGGACTAAAGTTCTTCACTATGTTTACAATTGACAAAATCCATTGAAAATACTAATTGGCCGAACTTTAGTCGAACAGTTTACATTTAGATTATGCAATAAGAATTCGTCGTGTTCTCGGAGTAAGCAGAACCTAACAAACAGTAATAAATGGAAAAACAATAAAAACCTCATAATACCTATTTAATACATTTAATTTTTCGTAAATAAATAACATCATTTCATTGTTTTGATCCTCGCAACTAACTCGAAATGTTAACTCGGAATTAGTATCACTCATTTGTCGTCGTGCTCTCGGAGTAAGCTGCGAGGTTCCTTCTCGCAGATAAACGGTGCTGGTCTTCCACACCAAAGGTCGTTGATCAGCGCCGAACGATATATTGAGCCGCAGTATTCACCGCCAGTCGAATTATTCGGTTCACCGGCAGACCACTTGTCGTAGCCGGCCTCTGGTAATGTCTCACCTAGAATTAAAATTGAAATACACTTGTGGCGGTAGCCATCATACAATACAAGATATTTGACAAAGGCCTTTTTTTTTATTGCCTTTGTAGGCAGAAGGGCATACGGCCCACCTGATGGTGAGTGGTTACCGTCGCCCATGGACTTCAGCAATGCCAGGGGCAGAGCCAAGCCGCTGCCTACCGAGAGCCAAGCCGCTGCCTACCGAGCGCCAAGCCGCTGCCTACCGGGAGCCAAGCCGCTGCCTACCGGGAGCCAAGCCGCTGCCTACACGGTAGCGGTAGCCTGCTGCGTAGTAGTAAGTTTAATGAGAGTGGACTGTATTAATTGATATCTTTATTAGTCCATATGTGACAAATTAAAGATATATAAATGTATGAAATATGAAATCGATGCGTCGCCCTTGGCAGCTGGTATTAACCGGGGAAAGTGTCATAGTGGACGTCGCTCGATGACACTTTTGACGTTCCGAATTCAAACACGCCTGAATCTCGCTTGCAATATTTTCAAGATAGGCATGCATATATACAAGTTCCGAACAACAACACATGGACCGTCGGTCTACCGAGCAATATCACCCGCTCGGTGGAAGATAGGTGGAAGGTACCACAACCCAGCCTATTTCTGCCGTGAGGCAGTAATCCGTTTCGGTTTGAAGCCGGGCAGCCGTTGTAATTATACAGAGATATATATTAGTATGCATAATTATTGATGATAGAGTGTCTTGTGAATCCGCATATTGAGTTACCGTCACCCCTTCTATTCCTCCTGCGAAGCAGCTATGTGCTCCTGTTTAAAGGGCGGTGCAGTCATTTTTACTATATAACTGATACTTTTGTGTCTCGACGAGTGATCACTTCTACGTTATTGAGGGGCTCGAGGAACTACTTTTATCTACTAACATTAGATGGATCGTGACCCAGTTTACCCGTGTAGGCAATTAAAAAAAAGAAAAAAAACTAAATACTTTCACACCTAATTCAAAATTCAAACCATGCCACGTTCTAAGCATATAGGATAAAAACAAGCGACAACTATTTATGTCATAACAAACCATTAATAGTCAACCATTCTCCGTGCTCATTCCAGTCGTGTAAGCCAATGAAAGCGATATCTTTCCAGAATCTTCCGACCATATGAGAGGCAGGGTTCTTCGCGAAAAGTTCCTTAAGGAACGTAGCCTCTTGTTGGCTGTTGATAATCGTCAGGTATCCTCCCTCGGCTAAGCAGGTCATGTAGGCCCGCGACCACGTGCGAGGAACTTTATGAAATTTGTAACAATTTCCCGTCTCTTTGCTGAGAGTATATTCTGAAATTAAAATACCACTAAACTAAAATGACTGTTTTAATTTCAAATCGGTGAAAATTTAAAACGATGACAGAAAGCAAAAGAAATATTAAAATGAGAAAAAGAAACAAACAGTTCCTCCTTCCCCACGCGCCATAGTACGTTGCAAGGATGAGGCATTCCACTACTGGAGATATAATCCAAGGAGGGCTGATGTAAGGCGACCTGTGGTATAACTCATGCCGAATTCCTGTGCAGCACGATCAAAGGAAGGAGGCCAAGAAATAAGACAGAAAATTTAAACGAACTGGAATACAGAAAAACTCATCGCTGAAGATGCTCTGTCAATTTATAATAATCTATATATTAATACGTGAAGGAAAAACTTTGCATCCCTTTTTACGAAAATTGCGCGGACGGAGGAGTATGAAATTTCCCACACTTATAGAGAATATAGAGAAGGAGTGCAGAATGTTAATATTATTTAAAATTATGCCTATAAAATACATTAAATGAATAAAAAAAACATTACACACATTACCGCGAATTTGACGCACACACGCAAGCATATTATTTATTTATTGTCAAACTTTTGTTCTGGACGTCTGTGGTCAAATTGAGAATAGATTAAAATATATTGTTTGCCTTTATTAATATTTTTCTATAGTGTATTCTTGGCGAAATTTGTGATTATCTATACTAATATTATAAAGAGGAAAGATTTGTTTGTTTGTTTGTTTCGAATAGGCTCCGAAACTACTGGACCGATTTGAAAAATTCTTTTTCCATTAGAAGCCGACATTGTCCCTGATGAACATAGGCTACTTTTTTTTATTTTTTTTATTTTATTTTTTTGGTTTCATGTGTGTTTTAATGTTTCCGAAGCGAAGCGAGGGCGGGTCGCTAGTAGAAGAATATTCTTTGAAAATAGAATCATAATAGAGTACAAACTTACAATTTCAATTAGTCGAATTTTGACTACTGCGTGACCGCTAGTAAATACTAATATATAATAATAATTAACAAGTACTGACCACTGTCAACACTGCCACAGGAAGACATAGCAACAGTTGAAGTCTTTTTCTTATAGCAAACGTACTGGAACGTATCAGTGCAATTAACATCGGCGAAGTTTCCATCAGGGTACATCAGGATACAATTTTCGTCACCTCCAGCATTATCTGGTTCATAATCGGCCCAATCATGAGGAATTTTTGCCAGTGGAACTCCTGATGATAACAAATATCCTTATTATAATATGAACTGCAGCAGTGCCATGTAGTATGATTATATCAATTAATTCTTCTGGTGTATACCCAAATATAAACTTCGAACGAGGGTTCAAATAAATTTTGCAAATGGTGTGACAAAAAAAACCAGCAGCGTAAAGACAATTTATTTTATTTGTGTGAGAATGCAGAAAGCTGGTAGAAATGGCCGGCATGGCTTGTTTTATTAACACTATCCCCCCTTCGTTGGCTTTGGCTAGTGGCGTTGGCGGAAGGGGGCGTTTTAACATGGCTTGGCGGCATGGCTGGCGGCAGGGCATGGCAGCTGACGTCACGTCCGTTACAAAATACTTAACGGTGGACAGCTTCTTTGCTTTGCCTCAAGCACTGCTGATGATCATTGGCGATGGTAAGCACCCACCATCAGATGAGCTTTACGCTCTGCCTTCGAAGGTTTTCGGATTGACACAACATCTACCCATTTTGCAGCTTAACGTGATTTGTTTATTTAGGAATGTCGACAGAGATTACCCTAATTATTTCTAAACATGAATTATCCAGCTCAGAAGCTAAAATGCTTTCCATAACGTAAAGTATGCGAAAAAGTCCACAATTAATTTGTTTTTATAGACGCAGCTTGTTTTTAGAGGGAGGGTGATGGGAGAGATGTTCTCCGCACTAAGCGCTTCACTCTCCCCCCTTTGCCTTTTTATGAGTTCTCTCTTCCGAGGTTCGGACATAGATTGTTGAGTGACAACATACGTCCTCCCAACCAAAAAAAAAACTTACTAAAAACTCTGTTACATTATGGCTGAATTTAAACAAATTTGAACTACACGACTATATTCAATGATAGTGTCTTCAAAACTTTCATAATAAAACATTGATACAGTAAAGTAAAAGTTAAAGACTTTCATTATGATTTGAACATTGTCAGCGGCGACATTTTTCTGTGCTAGGAAGCACTTTAGTTAACGCTAAATTAAAAAAAATATCAATCTCCATAAAATGTGACAGACCTTCAATTGAACGGAAGTCTCCTTTCGAGAATAACGCATGAATACCAGTGTAGATGCCACACGAACTCTTCTTATTTGTTATCAAAGACAGCATGCTGCTTTTTAAAGCAGCGTCCAGAGGTGAAGCCAATACAGATCCTGTTTGGCAAATACGTTACATAATGAAATTGCATGAAATTTTTGCATAAAAATTTACTCAATGAATACTTACTACATATTGTTGTCAAAGTTACGAAGGTCAGAAAAAACACAGAAATTGCAAATATAAAATTAAATACATAAGTTAATTTGTACATTTATTATTAAAATACTAAAAAAAGCATTCTTGGTATCATAAAACATTCTTGGTTTTCAGAAAGAACCATCCACATGATTCTTTTTTTGTTTACATAATAGAGACAAGAAGTATTGTAATTTGTCACATGTAACTAACATATGTAAATAACAAACCTTCCAAACGACATCTTAATCGAGCCTCTTGCCAGATAGCTGGAATCTCCTGAAGCTTCAACCACCCGTTGATATTCCTGAAGTACGTATAGTCATATCGAAACTGTTGGCCGACAACTGTGCATGAAATCAAATTTAAATACTGCTACGCCGGTAAGAGTAACGCCATCTATCGCCGAATAGCCGAACAAATATCGAAGGATCTAGTAGCATCTAGAACGCTCGAGAAGTACAACGCCATCTATTGTCAGATAGCGGAAACACACGCGTTACAGAGATGGCACGCAGTCATTTTTTTTTTGTAATCATCATCATTATTATCAGCCCACGACAATCCACTGCTGGTCATACGCCTCTCCCAGTCCACACCACTGAGCCCGATCTTCGGCTGTCCCCTTCCATTTCCAGGTACCCCCAATGATGTCCACGACTTGTAAAATTCGTTTAATTAATGGTTAACATGTCATTTATTTAAACGTCAAATGACGTCACACGTAACACATGAAATCACGGCTGTCTACTTTAAGTTTACGCGGCAATCTAAAAATAATAAAGTATGTCTTGGTAATCGGATAAATATTCAGACTAAGACGAAAAGTTTATGGAACTTGGTACAAATATCTAAAACTAACAAAACCTAGGTAACAAAATAGGCCAAAGAAAATTGAGACATTAGACCGTAACCAAATATCTGTTTATAATAATAATAATAATAATAATAATAATGTTTTTATTTCAAGTATCCATGACTCATATAAATTGTTAATCACAATGAATTACTGTGGTAACATCCCATGGGAGATGGCACCACAGCGACCCATGTATATACAGTCCAGCCTGCTTGCGATCATGCTCAGGATACTGTTGGAGCTGGCCCTCACTCTGTTTACCAGAGANGGCAATTTGTTCTGGTTCACTCACGCCACCGACGCTCACAGGTATTGTCGGCCTATTCTTTAATTTATTTGTGTGTTTCCAAAAGCCACGAAAATCACTTTTAGAATGGTGTGAGGCTAGAATATCCATTTTTATTTGGTCCTCATGATCTTGGCACCACTTTAGTCTAGACTTGAAAACTTTTCTAGATTCACACATATCATTATACATAGCAAAAGTTATTATTAAATAAAAAATTATTAGTATTTTATTAATTGTTTTCGTTATCCTATTTATTGTCAACCATTTTTATTTTACATATAGCTCCTATTTACGTAAACTATGAACCTACGCACGTATTCTATTGGTTCATTATGTTTTTCTATTACTTTTTTTTTAATACCACTACATGAAATAAAAATTTAAAATGTGTCTTTCTGAACAACTATTTAGAGTGCTATTTAATCTGAAACCTTATGTCTCGTTATTAGTGAATGCGAACACTTTCAAATTGAGTTGAGTATTAGAAAAATTTATTTATTTATTTAAGGATTACCGACAGGGTTTACAGTAAGACATAAAATAACATTGACATGTTTAGAGCAATTGATAACTGCAACTCTAATTATAGGCAATGACAGCATGCATTACATTAACATATTAATAGAGATTTTACAATACTATCAATAATAATAAAAAATTGAAAACAGAAAGACAACAAGGACAGTAATACCCGAGTACTCGGACCAAGGCCGAGGCTGAGGTTCAACAACAACTTTTTATAATTTTGTTCTTAAATATTGGAAAGGAATCGCCAAATATGTCAAGGTTTTCAACTTTTCTAACTAGATTATTATAAAGGTTAGTTAGACGAGGAGTAGGTGAGTGCTTGCCTAGATTGGTTAAAATTAAATTCATTAAAAAAATATCACTGAAATAACTCACCTGAACAAATAAGAATCAATACAAAAACGAGACTTTTATTCGCCGCTTTCATATTTACACTACAATAACAAAACTGTTACTGATTATTTTGGATTTTGTTTTTAAACACGATGACGATGACGATTTATCTTTATTATAATGTTAGCGTTGATTGCTAATTAATTATGTTCGTCTTTTAAAATGCTACGTTAAAATTAAGCAATTTTTTGCGTAAGGGTTCAGTACGTGAAATTTAATTTTTGTATTCCTTGTAAGACTATTTCCTTAAAACGCTTTAGGTAGGTACTCCAGATGTACCGTATGTAGTCACGAAGTCATTACAATTAAAGAATATTAGTGAGTATAATAATAACGAATGACGACCAAGACCGCTCTGATAAGAGTGATGCGACAAAGAGAAAGAGTGGGTGAGGAATGTATTAAAATCAAACCCACTGGTTTTACTGGTGGTACGACCTCTTGTGAGTTCGTACGGGTAGGTATCACCACCCCGCCTATTTCTGCCGTGAAGCAGTAATGCGTTTCGGTTTGAAGGGTGGGGCAGCCGTTGTAACTATAATGAGACCTTAGAACCAATATCTTAAGGTGGATGGCGCATTTACGTTGTAGATGTCTATGGGCTCCAGTAACCACTTAACACCAGGTGGACTGTGAGCTCGTCCAACCATGTAAGAATAAAAAAAAATGTAGAAAATACATGTACTTAATGGATAGGCTAATATTTATATGAGTATTGGACTCCCTAAGCCAGTTGCGGGGGCTTTAATGATGAGAATCTTTGTGGGGGTGAGAAATAATAATGTTAATTTAAAATGCCCAGCGAAGCGGACCGGTACAGCTAGTAATGTTATAATAATGGATTTAACAAAAATCACTTGCATGCCTGCACCTTAATAAGATACTAGTACGTCTTATCAACGAATGTACCTCGTCCGTGACCCTTCTGCGATTATTATTTTTTTGCTCTTTCTGACGAGTTGAACAAAAAAGTACCGGAGGAAACGTTATCGCCGCTTCCAATGCGAGGGACACGTAATGGGTATTTACTCGTTTACAACACTATTACGGTTCTTCGTTGGTGTAGGTCTGTATTATAAGATAGCACCGTCCAGCCTATTTCTGCCGCGAAGTAATCACATGTTTCGGTTTGAAAGGACAGGCAGGCGTTTGACAATAGAATTGAGACTTCCAACTCAGATCTCAAGGTGGGTGGCGGCATTCAATATAATAACGCGTTTAGGGTGCTGGTGGTGCTGCCCCGCTTTTGTAGCGCATCAGGGATGTTTGCAGACGCGCACATAGATTGTTTTTACGCTACCATGCGTAAGAGGTGTGCATCTCTGGTAAGCAGAGTGAGGGCCAGCTCCAACAGTATCCTGAGCATGATCGCAAGCAGGCTGGACTGTGTATACATGGGNGATTGTTTTTACGCTACCATGCGTAAGAGGTGTGCATCTCTGGTAAGCAGAGTGAGGGCCAGCTCCAACAGTATCCTGAGCATGATCGCAAGCAGGCTGGACTGTGTATACATGGGTCGCTGTGGTGCCATCTCCCATGGGATGTTACGACAGTAATTCATTGTGATGTAAATATAACTACTAACATAGGTCTAAGTCTTATTAACAACTTATATGAGTCATGGTTACTTGCAATAAAAACATTATTATTATTATTATTTTTTAATTATTTTTTTCTCAGCTTATGCTGGTAATATTTAGTGATATTTACGGACTCGGTCAAGTAAATGTCACGGTTTCTTGGGGTTGGCTAACTATTGCATTATGTGGTTGATCATATTCTATTTGCAGAAACTTTCGTACGATTCTGCACGTGTTTAATATAGCAGCTTTTTGAAGAAGTATGTAGGTGTTCGGTTTTAGGTCAAGGAGCTTCAAACCATGATGTATATGTTTTGGAATAACACCAGTTGTGGACAATACTAGAGGGACAATGTATACTTATTATTATTATTATTATTATTATTACTAACTTTGTGATGTTTATGACCTTCGCTGACCACTTTACGGCAGATAGACCGTGAAATAGTTAATTCATCTAAGGAGTTAAAAAAATTATAAATTTCACAGTTATTTCTTCTTAGTCGGACAGACTTGTCAGAGTGGAGAGTTTTTTACTTGTGGTAGGACCTCTTGTGAGTCCGCACGGGTAGGTACCACCACTCTGCCTATTTCTGCCGTGAAGCAGTAATGCGTTTTGGTTTGAAGGGTGGGGCAGCCGTGTAACCATACTGAGACCTTAGAACTTATATCGCAAGGTGGGTGGCGCATTTAAGTCATAGATGTCTATGGGCTCCAGTAACCACCTAACAACAGGTGGGATGTGAGCTCGTCCTCCCATCTAAGCAACTGGTTTGTAGGCAAACAGCCTTGTATCCTTCATTATTTCTTAACTACTAAAACACAAGTCAGACTTATGAAACCGCTTACGATCATTTTGCTCACTGGAATAGCTGATCTCCTACTCGGTTGATTCTTTTTAAGATCACAATGTCATTTTCACTGTCGTTGAAGTATGAATCAACAGAAGTTTCAGTTAATAGACGCCAGCTTCTAGACTCCTAAATGTACTTAACGAACTAGTTATCAAATTAATGTGCTCACGATAAGCCATAATATCTACCTAGTCAGGTCATAAGTATTGTCACACAGTAAAAACTTTTGTTTTAGAATGCTGGCCACAAAAAAGTTTATTGAATTCGAATTTCGAATTGTTCATGAAAATAAAAATAGTATACATTTAGAATTTTACTCATTTTTAAATATGGAGTGGACGCTTAAAGAAGACCGTGTTGCAGTTAATGCGTTGCATCGTTGCGGTTACGCGCCAATTCAAATTTTCAACATACTGAAAATTTTGAATATAGCCAAAAGATTCGTTTATCGTACCATCAAACGATACAATGAAGACTCTAGTGTAGATGACAGGTCAAGAAGTGGTCGCCCTCGGTCTTTTAGGACTCCAGCTGTGATAAAAGCTATGAAGGCGCGAATTCAAAGAAATCCCAAACGTAAGCAGAAACTGTTGGCTCTTCAGATGGGGTTAAGCAGAACCACGGTGAAAAGGGTGTTAAATGAAGACTTAGGGCTTCGGGCATATCGAAGAAAAACAGGACATCGTTTGAATGCTCGTCTAATGGACCTGAGACTAAAGAGATGCCGCGCTTTGTTGAAGCGGTACGCGGGAAAAAAATATCGGGAAATTCTTTTTTCGGATGAAAAAATTTTTACCGTAGAAGAGAGCTACAACAAACAAAATGATAAGGTGTACGCACACAGTAGTGAAGAAGCGGGCAACCATATTCCACGTGTCCAACGAGGTCATTTTCCATCCTTGCTCATGGTATGGTTGGGAGTTTCTTATTGGGGCATAACTGAGGTACATTTTTGTGAGAAAGGTGTAAAAACGAATGCAGTTGTGTATCAAAATACAGTCCTGACGAACCTTGTGGAACCTGTTTCTCATACCATGTTCAATAACAGGCACTGGGTATTCCAACAAGATTCGGCGCCAGCTCATAGAGCGAAGAGCACACAAGACTGGCTGGCGGCGCGTGAAATCGACTTCATCCGGCACGAAGACTGGCCCTCCTCCAGTCCAGATTTGAATCCGTTAGATTACAAGATATGGCAACACTTGGAGGAAAAGGCGTGCTCAAAGCCTCATCCCAATTTGGAGTCACTCAAGACATCCTTGATTAAAGCAGCCGCCGATATTGACATGGACCTCGTTCGTGCTGCGATAGACGACTGGCCGCGCAGATTGAAGGCCTGTATTTAAAATCACGGAGGTCATTTTGAATAAACTTTAGTGTCATAAGAATCTATGTTTTGTTAAGTTCATGTTGGTATATGAATGGTTACATAATGAATAAACTTGTTTCAATTGTTTTACATTAAACATGTGACAGAATTTATGACCTGACTATGTATATATTAATACGGGAAGCAAAAACTTTGTATCCCTTTTTACGAAAATTGCGCGGACGGAGGAGTATGAAATTTTGTACACTTATAGAGAATATAGAGAAGAAGTACACAATGCTAATATTTTTTTAAAATAATGGATAAAAGATACATTAGATCAATAAAGAAATCATTACACACACTACATACCATTTATTTGACGCACACACGCATGCATACTATCACGCATACTATTTATTGTCAAACTTTTGTTCTTGACGTCTGTTGTCAAATTGAGAATAGATTAAATATTGTTTGTCTTTGTTAATATTTTTTATAGTGTAGTCATGGCGAAATTTGTGATTATAGAAGTATAAAATAAAATCATAATAGTGTACAAACTTACAATTCCAATTAATTAACAGGTCCCTCTGTCTTGAATCAATTAAAAGAGTCGTAGGTTGTTGGAACGAAGTTCCTTTTTTTTTTAAACTTCGCCGCCAACAAACCGACCACGAAAATACTTTGTGTATTACTAAAAAATTTTACGGTACGTTCAACTTAAACAAAAGTAGATATCAAGTTTAAGTATAAACTTTTCTTAACAAGAACGCAGTCGCTAAAACTAACTAAAGCTAACAGCATTCTTGGAGTCATGTACAGGTGTTACGGAGTACAAATGTATTTAAGTTAGAATACATGAACTGAATTCTGAAACGCGATATATCTCAAACAAGTCCGCGTGAACGAAGTGGCTCCACAGTCCAAATGTAACTCAGTAAATTAGTTTCTGCGTTGCGTACTTGGGAATACTAAATTGTATTACTGTTTTTCCTGCATGATTAACTTGATGGTTCAATGGTTAGCGTCACTAACTTTCTACGGCTGAGGGTCATAGATTTTTATTTTCATTAGTAGGTTCTTTGTCTGGCTGTTGAATGTCTAAATTTGTATATATTTAAATAAGGATATTTAATATAAGGATGTATAATATATCGTCTCTGCTTACTATATAGGGAGTCGTAGTTTGGATACAGATTTAAGTATTTAAGTATACTTTAAAAAATATATAATTGTCTATGTTATAAATATGTTGTTACAACTATTTGAGGAAGCGAGTGAATTTGCC